AGAGATGGGGTTTCACCATGTTGTCCAGGCGGGTCTCGAACTCCTGACCTCAGGTGATCTGCTCACCTCAGCCTCCCAAAGTGCTGGGATTACAGGTGTGAGCCACTGCACCCAGCAAATTGTTTGGTTTTGATTCAAACAAGTCAAACCAGTTCAGAAAAAGTCCCCAAGACTCCTCTCCCCACCACTACTTCACTTTGTTTCCCTGCTAAAGGAAAAAAATGTTATTTGCACCCAACGTCACTCACTGAACTTTAAATGTAGAGCATTTTCTTAAAAAGAACTTAAGAGTTGGAACCAAGGGTACAGAGTTCTTATCCTTCACTTACCTGCACTGAGGAAGTACATATTTTATATCATTTACGGAATAACAGACTGTTACAGCAAGTTCAAGCTTAACTCATTTCGAATGACCTGCTAACTGGTCCACTGACTGGACAAATTCTAGAGCCCTGAACCCTCCAAGATGCCCAGGGACGGGGACTGTCTCAAGGAACGCTTCGGTGGTTTGGTGGGAAGTGGCAGTCCCTGCGTTGACTGTGACGGAATCAAAATAACCGCGCAGGTGTGAAATGCTCCATGTGGGTGACACCCCTCACATCCCACCCACTTCTGTTCCCAAGCACAAAGGAACCACTCCATCTTCTTTCTCCTCACGAGAACCGCAGCGCTGCTCTCCTTCAACCCCACCGGCCTCCACCCCGGGGACAGGCACGTGCCGTGGGGACACCTGCTTCCCAGGTGTGCATGGCTGGTACCCAGCGCCTCGGCGGGGTCCTCTGCAGGGCTGAAAGTGGGGGTCACAGAGATCACCATGCTGCAGGGACTGAGCTACTTGTCCTTGGTCAGGATGGGCAAGCCCTGCCTCAAATAAAGGCTGGAAGTGTTTTTTTCTGGATGACTTCTTCCCCATGCAGAGAATGGTTAATCTAGCTGAGGCAATCTGGAGTTGGCTTCAAAATCAGCAATGGGGAGGGGGAAGAACCTCACAACAAACAGTGGTAACAGAAGGTTTGTGTGGGAAGGTGGTTGAGTTTGGTCTAAAACAAGCAGTGTCTCTGGTAATGAGCTGTTGTTAGGAAATACCCGGCGCTTGCAGCTTTTGAAAGAGCACCACTGCTGCTTCTAGAGGGCAGGGTTGTGGGGGTGGGAGAGGGCAAAGTGAAGGGAAGCGAACACCCAACGAACACTAAAGTGCGTGGAGGTGACAGAGCAGTGGAGATACCCACCGCCAAGCGTGCCAGCCGCGGATCGCGCAGAGAAGCCCAGCTCCGCTCTGGGCGCTAGACCACCTTTGGTATCTTACCTACCTTTTCTGAATCAGTTGGCTCACTGGTAAAATGAGGACACCTAAGCTATCAGCCAGGGTCCTGGCAGGAGACAGATGGGGTACACTCAGATGGAGTGACCAAGGAGAGTTTCACAAAGGGACTATTTACAAAGGGTGTGGGCAGGGTTAAGAGACTCCATTGAGGACAGTGATGTACCCGAGGCCTGGCAAAAGCAGGGAGTGAGGACTGAGACTGGCTTGGGGGGACAAGGAGAGGGTGTGGCTACTAAACCCCAGAAGCTGCCTGACAGGACTTGTGGGCCTTGGCAGAGGAGCCCAGCCACCGCCGACACACAGCTGGCGGGAGGGAGTCGGGAATGAATTCCCTGACTTCCTTGTCCTCTCATCTGCCAGGCTCCATCCAGCGTGTCTCTGGATCCTGACCAGAAGCCAGGACAGGTCCCCAGTGGCCAGCCTCCTGCAGAGAACCGCACAGCAGGAAGGGGACCCAGAGGGACCCACAGAGAGCCTCTAGCACACCCCAAGTACCCGATGGGGCCAGTGGGGGTCTAAAATATTACTACAAATGCCTGCCTGGCAGTCACTCACCGCCCACTGGATCAGATTATTTGGCGTTTACTTACCAAAAGGCCACCATATAACTGTATTCTCAGGTGGCAAAACCCAGAGTCAAATAAGATGTGGTCATCTACTCATAGTGAAAAACAAAAACTTTTACAAAGTTGACAGATAACATTTATTAAAACATGTCATACAAAAGGGCATGATCTCTTCTATAAGAAGAAAATATTAAACATTAACATTCAATTAAGTAAAACCATGCTGTACACTGAAGACAGCAATATATAAAGACAAAACTATTCAACTTTTGCAACATAGGCATAACATTTCACAAAATATCAATAAGATATGCACCTAATGATAATCTGTTTATCATCAAATGGTTTTGTGGCCTAAGAGTCACCTGACTTGCATAAATAAAGTACTTTTCTGGACGAAACATTGGGAACCTCATAAAAGGAAAGAAGGCAGCAGCAACTAACATGACACAGGCTTCAAGCAAAAATTAAAAAAAAAAAAAAAAAGTCACATTTGCAAAATGTGTTCCAGCATCTTCCCATAGGGTACTATCAGTAGAGATTTGAAATAAGAAACTTGTACCTTTAAATATGTAAGTAGCAAAGAAAAAAACTCCAGACAAACCCTGGTTTCACTGAACAAAGTTAGTCACCCACTAAAGCAACCTAAATCACAAAATTGGCGGCACGGGAGGGATTGGGGATAACGTGATGCTGGTTTCCAGCATCCCCAAGTTATCAGACAACTTCCAAAAGCAAAAACCTGGCCTCGCTGTGATGGCACCCTCTCTACGCCCACCCAGGAGGCCGCAGCACATCCCCTTCCCCAGGGAAAGCACGGCTTTGCAGCTTCTGCTCTGTCTCAACTTCACTTCCACAGCAGCTCGGCGGTGTATGAGCCTCTCAAGGAGGGAGCCCCAGAGGCTAAGCAGCTTTCCCCAGTGGTTAGAAGCCAGCCTTAGGGTCAGGTTAGTTCAGCAAATGCCTACTAGAATGGAGGGGATCCTTTTGGGCAAGCTTTTAAAGTCGTGGCCAAAAGGGACCAGATGAAGAGGAGACCTAGAAATCAGAATCAACAGGCTGGGGCCCAGGAGCGCCTGCAGACAACCCACAGCCCTGCAGGGTAAGTTACCGCAGTCCTTCCTTAGTTAACGGTGACAGGCACTTCACCATGTGGGGATTACTCTAATGTGTGTATCTAAAGGTAAAAGCATGGTATAAGTATGTTTTTTGTTTTGTTTTTTTTGAGACGGAGTCTCACTCTGTTGCCCAGGCTGGAGTGCGGTGGTGCAATCTTGGCTCACTGAAACCTCCGCCTCCCGAGTTCAAGTGATTCTCCTGCCTCAGCCTCCCGAGTAGCTGGGATTACAGGTGCGTGCCACCACGCCCGGCTAATTTTTGTGTTTTTAGTAGAGATGGGGTTTCACCATGTTGGTCAGGCTGGTAACGAATCCCTGACCTCACTCAGGTGATCCACCCACCTCGGCCTCCCAAAGTGCTGGGATTACAGGCGTGAGCCACCGCGCCTGGCCCCAAGTATGAATATTAAATACCACTGGTGGTGCCTTGAAGCCCTTTCCCACGGGGATTGAAGAAAAACCACAGTTAAGACTCAAAGTAGGGGACAAATAGCTTGGTTGTAGGCCACTGACGTGATCCCTGAAAGATTATTTGAACAATGTTACCCATAACTACCCAAACTCATTAGGAACGATAAAGATTTTCTAAAGCTATACTGAGGTGAAGAGAACAGACTATTCCTCCAACCCAAGGTAAAAACCAGAGTTTACAAAAATTCACTTTGAATATTCAAATGAAAGCAATCCTCTTCTCCTGCCTCTCTGAACATGGCCAGCATTTCAGACACCCTACCACCTCACAGGCTCTGGCTGCCTGATAAAAAAATCCCAATTTTTGCCAAAACCTCAAATACCACAACAAACTTAAAAGAACAGATGTGAGCAACTTATTTAAGTTCTACGTTTCGTAGCTGATGGACGCATAAGGCTTTCAAGAAGACACTCTTCTCTTCACAACATATTAAATAAGTCCTAGCACAACCGACTGCTTCCAAAACGACCACCCAAGCGTGCCACCACTCTCGGCTGAACAGAAACTCTTCCTCATGACGAGGGCACTACGCTGACTTCAGCAGAACTGAAGGACCACAACTCTCCCGGAAGAGCTGTATTTTCACTTCTCAGACTCTTCTCCCACAGTGTCCTAATGATCATGTGAGTAGTACAATGAGAAACAGCACACCAAACCTTCCAAACAGGCAGGAAACGCTCTGCTAACACCATGGGAGAGGGTGATCAGTTTTTGGCAGAACAGAATGGCATCACCACTTTAGTACTGAAACTGGTAGTAATAGAACAATTTCTCCTCAAATATAATGGCTAGGATCATACCTAAACCCCACTGGCCTCTACCATGAGAAAAAGAAAAGGAGACATCAGGCTTGATTGTACAGTCCCCTCTGTATACATGTGTCAGGTACACAGAGAAAAGACTGCTAACCAGTAACGTTTCAATACTAAGAGAAGCTATTAATGTGGTAAACAACCAAGAGGTAATATCTAGTTTCTAGGTTTAAAAAAAAAACTCTCTATATATATTTATAATAAAGTTTTAAATACAAAGTGCTTTTTATATATCGAGAATGATACAGTGTTGTGAATAAATCCCTGTTTGTAATCTTGCTTACAAGAGTTAACTGGTAAATAAGTATTTTCCTTCCTCTTTCCAGACAATGTTTAACGAGTAAACACCTTGGTGTTAGGAGCTTGAGAATCAGAGGCCATTGCCAGCAATGTCTATTACATTACAGCAAAGCCAAGCTTTTCAAATAAAATGTCACCCCAAATCCAAGAAAAATTATTTTTATTTTAAGGAAAAACGTTTCTATTTAGAAGTAAATAACCCAGTACGTTTATGGAAAAGATGACATAGTAGTAGCACCCTGTCCTACCCTGGTGATAACCTCAGGTACATTACACAGCTTAAAAGCCCTCAGGTACATTACACAGCTTAAAAGCATGTGTAATATACCTTTCTTTTTAACCTAAACCATCTAGCTGATGGGCAGAAAAGGTCTCAGAATAGCTGCTTGTTTTTTTGTCGTGTTTTTTTTTTCTGGTCGGCATAGCTTTGTGGACTTGTAAGTTTAAGCAGCTTTATCTATAATTTGGGAGCATGATTCTGTAGACTACTTTGCTAAACTTAGGACTCCTTTTAAAAGCACATTCCGGCGCTCATAAAGAACTGGCAGTATTAGCTCAGTGTACCCCCTAAAGAGTATCTCCCCCACCTTGAAAGAGTGTATTTTCAAGATTCTCCTTGGGCACGTTTTTTCCCCTTAAGTATGATCACTCATAGAATCCTGCCTATCTGCCCTCTCACTCTGGTTGGTGGAGTGTCACCTTAGCACTCTATGAACTGCCAAAGTTCACAGGGAACTCTCAGCCACAACTTGGGGCTCCTTCCCACTAAGTGTGGTCATGGACCACCCTCTTTGTAAAGCACCATAATCTAAGACAGAGCAGGGGCTGCAGCGGCCCGTGGTACCGTGGTCAGTCACAGCAGCTTGGTGTCTACCAGCCACAGAGCAGACCCCACTGCATGGAGGCTACAATTAACCAAACAGGATTTGGGAAAGCAAACCAATGAGAAATACCTATCTCTGGCACCCTAGAGAATTACAATTAGATACAACTGTTCAAACTCAATGTTAGAACTAAAATACAAAACACTGCCTTATCAAGAGTCTGAAACACCTTGTGACAGTAGTGGCATCTTACAGAAACTGACAAGGGCACTATGTCAGTCTTGTACCGTAAGTTATCTGTTTCATATTTAGAACGTCATTCTCTTAGCATCTCCATAGTTTTAGTGAAAATATCCTTTAGAAAGAATAAAACCAGACAACAGAGCTCTGTTAACCAATTTCTCATCCTAGGAATCACATTAGTTGTAGCTTTTATATAAGTAGCACTTCCTTCAGGGAAATAGCTATCAAAACAAATCCACATTACCTAAGTATCTATAGCAAGAGCAAAATAAAATTTCAGCATGACCTTGTAGTAATGAGTGATCCAAAGCTGCTGCCACCCGAAACGGAACTGGTGGGTGGAGTCCAGTTCCAAGTGCAGGTGTCTCTGTCCACCTGTTTCAATCACAACCGGTCAGAAGGTTTCCCTTGCCAGCTGGGCGGTGGGTTAACTCACCCCATTACCCATTCCAGGCCAGGACTGGAACACACAAATTTGAGGAATTAGATTTTTTTTAATTGGCCTACTTAGAGCTGGTCTTTCAGAAATATCTTCCTTTTTTTTTTAAGCTTCTCTCATAATAGCAAGTAGCACGCATCATCTGTGCCCAGATTTGCATTAATTACCATAGTTTATTTTTGTGCATGCCACTCAAGGGCCAGATCCTATTTTTAGTTAGCCTCAGTTGTATTCTGCTCAGCCTTTGCAGCTTCGTAGGACTTGGTACAAGAAGTCACATGCCGGTGGAAACTGTCCCTCCACATAAACCTCTTTGCACAGATATTACACTCATACGGCTTTATGCCCGTGTGAATTTTCATGTGGCCCACGAGGTGGTGCTTCATTTTGAATTTCTTACCGCAGACGCCACAGCCGTAAGGCCGCAGACCGAGGTGCATGCTCATGTGCCGATCTCTCTGACTCTTGTGAGTGAAACTCTTCCCACACTGACAAGGATACAGCTTGTCGGTGGCTGAGAATCCTAAGTGGGAAGCTTCTTCTTTAATCCCTGTTACCATTTCAATATTCTCACTGTAGCCTGCTGCGAGGGCAGCCTCCTGTCTGTGCCCAATGAGGTTCCCGTCCGACCTCTCTCCGGAAAACTCTTCCATGGAGGAGCCATAGAAATCCACCTGCTCATCATAATTGCTTTCATCAGCCTGTTCATCAAACTCGGCTTCCACTTTCTTCTCCCCGATGTGGAAGTCCTCCTCCACTCCCGAAGGCTGGACGGTGTGCTCGGTCTGCACGGTGTTGATGGACTCTGTGACCTGATGCTCGTCGTAGGCCGCGTGCACATCCATGCCCTCGCAAGCCTGTTCTAAGCGCTCGGGCTTCACGTGGATCCAGCGTTTGTGAGCCATGATGCTGGGCTTGCTGTACATGGGCCGGGTGTAGTGGAACTCGGCGCTGTCGCTGGCGCCCTCCTCCCCATCCTGGCTCGCCATTTCCGTGCTCAGGCGGTCATGCTCTGTGGACGAGTTGCTGGGCAGGTATTCGTGCTCGGTGAGCTGGGATGACAGCTCGTCTTTGGTGCTCTCCTCTTCATTTTCACCATCCCTCAGTTCTTGGGCTTTGGGAAAATCAGTATGACCCCCTGAGCCCAGCTCAAAGCTCTCTACCAGGCCATTGTAACTACTGCTGCTTGGTGACTGGTGGTCACTGCCATGATTTAGCTTCTGACAAAGGACTGTAGGGTTTCCCTCTAAAACTTCAGTGCACTTGTCTACCACATGCCACATCTGGAGGAAGCTTGCCGCTGTCAAGTAACTAACAATTTCTGGAGCGGGCATTACTAGACGTCCTGTATAGCTAGATAGGAGAATGTTCTCAAACACTCTTGGGTTCATCACATCAGGCAAAACAATTCTCCTGCTGTTTTTCAGGAGTACCTGGTCACAAAAGTAGGGTGAACTGGCAGCGAGAACGGCTTTGTGTGCCCGGAAAATGTGGCCTTGGACAACAATGGAGACGTCACATAATTGTCCTTGCTGGCGCTGCTGGTTCAGTTTCTGTAGGATGGTGCTGGAAAAATCAGGAAATTCTACCCGAAAAGAGTTTGCTCCAGGCTCCATTTCATCACAAATCTTGTTCGGTGCTACAAGAAAAAGAAAAATTAGTACTAATTCCAGCCCAAAGATCAATGTATTTTATCCCCTTCTCCATCCTTAAGACAAGTTCCAAAGTTCCACAAGGTCCTCTAGCCTATGAGCCCCCCGGGATTCAATCCCTAGGGTAAAGCTTGCAGGTGCAAGTTTGCCCAGGCAGGACTCACCACCGCTCCTTGTGGAACTCCTGATTTTGGCTCTGTGTCTGTGGGTAAGAGGACGGAATCCAGTGACAGGATTTGTAAGCTATACAAATCTCCCAAGTAAAACCAAGTACTGTAAATATTTACAGTTAAAACAAACAATACCCATTCAAATTATATATATATATATATTTTAATGAGATGGGGTCTTGCTTTGTTGCCCAGGCTGGAGTGCAGTGGCACAATCATAGCTCACTGTAGCCTTGAACTCTTGGGTAATCAAGCAATCTCCTGCCTCAGCCTCCTGAGCAGCTGGGACTATACGTACATGCCACCATGCCCAGCTAGTTTTTTTTTTTTTTGAGATGGAGTTTCGCTCTTGTTGCCCAGGCTGGAGTGCAATGGCGTGATCTCGGCTCATTGCCACCTCCACCTTCCGGTTTTGAGCGATTCTCCTGTCTCAGCCTCCTGAGTAGCTGGGATTACAGGCACCCACCACTACACCTGGTTAATTTTTTTTTTTTTTTTTGCATTTTTAGTAGAGATGGGGTCTCACTATGTTGGCCAGGCTGATCTCAAACTCCTGACCTCATGATCTGCCCACCTTGGCCTCCCAAAGTGCTGGGATTACAGGTGTGAGCCACCGCGCCTGGCTGCCCAGCTAGTTTTTTTAAAAAATTAATTTTTTTCTTTTTTTTTTTTGTAGAGACAGGGGTCTCACTTTGTTGCCCAGGTTCATCTTGAACTCCTGGCTTCAAGTGATCTACCTGCCTCAGCCTCCTAAAGTGTTGGGTTACAGGCATGAGCCACTGCTCCTGGCAGAATTTTTTTTTAAAGAGATGAGGTCTCACTCTTTTACCCAGGCTGGAGTGTAGTGGCACCATCATAGCCACTGCAGTCTCAAACTCCTGGGCTCAAGTGATCCTCTCGCCTCAGCCTCCTGTGTAGCTGGGACTATGGGTATACACCACTGTGCCCATCTCAAAATGACAGAACTTTTAAGCCTCAGATTTAACTGCTATTTGACAGGTTGTGGTGAGGGTGGGAGAACAGAATAGAGGGAACAAGGAAAAGCATATGCAAAGGCTCTGAGGCAGGAATGCATTTGGCAATTGCAAGGAACTGAAAGGAGACCATTAGACTAGAGTACATTAAGGGAGTGAGGGGCCCGGGGGCTGGAGCAGTGAGGACAGGACAATTGCACCTTTGGTCTTTCACCACTAAAGGGGCACAGTCACTCAGGCCCTGAGCTTTCTCCAGCTGCTGCCAGGATTTTAGCCCTTTAAGGGCTTCTGAGGATATGAAACTGAATGAAACTGCAAGGTGAGCTATTTTCTTATCTGGTGATCTCCAAACTGTCTAAAGAGTTATAGACCAAACACGATAGTTAAGTAGTCCCTGCTACTGAACAGAGTCCATCAGAAGACAAAGTTATAACAAAGAATAAGGCATTGCCTGTGTTGCTACGGTAAATATATTCTGTGGGGTAAGTCAAACATTAGAAATAATTCCTAACAACGGCACACAAGATGAGCTGTGCCAGAGATCCTGCCCATACTCTGTAATTCCCCAAAATTCTGTAATTAAAGCAAAAAAACCACCCAAACGATTTATCACTGCTATATGTCACCTTGCTCTGATACTATATCCAAACATTGCTAAATTATCAAGTTTTCTTTTTTTTTTTTTGAGACAGGGTCTCACTCTTGTCACCCATGCTGGAGTACAGCGGCGTGATCACAGCTCACTGCAGTCTTAAACTCCTGGGCTCAGGTGATCCTCCCATCTCAGCCTCCTGAGTAGCTGGGACTTCAGGCATGCACCACCATACCCGGCAAACTTTTGTATTTTTTGCAGAGACAGGGTTTCGCCACGTTGCCCAGGCTGGTCTCAAATTCCTGAACTCAAGCGATCTGCCCACTTGGCCTTCCAAAGTGCTG